GCCCAACGCCTATTTGCTCGAACCCACCAAGTTGAATCATTGGCGGCTGAAGTGATGAGTCTCAAACAGGAGATTAGAGGGCTCAAGCATGAGAATAAACAGTTGCACTAGGTCGCTCATGACTATGCTACAAACATGAAGAGGAAGCTTGACCAGATGAAGGAATCTGATGGTCAGATTTTACATGATCATCAGAGGTTTGTGGGTTTGTTCCAAAGGCATTTATTGCCTTCGTCTTCTGGGGCTGTACCGCGTAATGAAGCTCCAAATGATCAACCTCCGATGCCTCCTCCTTCTAGGGTGTTGTCCAGTACTGAGGCTCCGAATGATCCCCATCCGGTGCCTTCTCTTTCTGGGGCTCTGCCGACTGCTGAGACTTCTCCTAAGCAACCTTTGTGAAGGCTCCCTCTTGTTTGTTTATTTTGACTCGTGTATATGTACATATTTGTAACTTCTTAGAGATATCAATAAATAAGCTTTGTTTCATTTCAATGTATTGTGTTAAATACATCAAAGCCTTCTTCACTAAGTTCTTTGAATTTTTCTTTTGTTGAAGCTTGTATGTTGAAGCTTTGTGAGTAGAGCATGTAGGTTGAGGTAGTGTTCCCTTAATTTCCCGAGTGGGGAAAACTTCTCGATTGGAGACTTGAAAAATCCGAGTCACTGAGTCAGGTCGGCTATATGAATCTTAGAACGCCATTGTGCTCGATCCTGTATCATGTCCTCCGTTAGATCCAAGTACTCTAAGTCTTTTCTTAAAGTCTCTTCCAAAGTTTTCCTAGGTCTTCCTCTACCCCTTCGGCCCTGAACCTCTGTCCCGTAGTCACATCTTCTAACCGGAGCGTCAGTAGGCCTTCTTTGCACATGTCCAAACCACCGTAACCGATTTTCTCTCAGTTTTCCTTCAATTTCGGCTACTCCTACTTTACCTCGGATATCCTCATTCCTAATCTTATCCTTTCTCGTGTGCCCACACATCCAACGAATCATCCTCATCTCCGCTACACCTATTTTGTGTACGTGTTGGTGCTTCACCGCCCAACATTCTGTGCCATACAGCATCGCCGGCCTTATTACCGTCCTATAAAATTTTCCCTTAAGCTTCAGTGGCATACGACGATCACACAACACGCCGGATGCACTCTTCCACTTCATCCATCCAGCTTGTATTCTATGGTTGAGATCTCCATCTAATTCTCCGTTCTTTTGCAAGATAGATCCTAGGTAGCGAAAACGGTCGCTCTTTGGTATTTCCTGATCTCCGATCCTCACCCCTAACTCATTTTGGCCTCCATTTGCACTGAACTTGCACTCCATATATTCTGTCTTTGATCGGCTTAGGCGAAGACCTTTAGATTCCAACACTTCTCTCCAAAGGTTAAGCTTCACATTTACCCCTTCATGAGTTTCATCTATCAACACTATATCGTCTGCGAAAAGCATACACCAAGGAATATCATCTTGAATATGTCCTGTTAACTCATCCATTACCAACGCAAAAAGGTAAGGACTTAAGGATGAGCCTTGATGTAATCCTACAGTTATGGGGAAGCTTTCGGTTTGTCCTTCATGAGTTCTTACGGCAGTCTTTGCTCCTTCATACATATCCTTTATAGCTTGGATATATGCTACTCGTACTCCTTTCTTCTCTAAAATCCTCCAAAGAATGTCTTTTGGGACCCTATCATACACTTTTTCCAAATCTATAAAGACTATGTGTAAATCCTTTTTCCCATCTCTATATCTTTCCATCAATCTTCGTAAGAGATAGATTGCCTCCATGGTTGAGCGCCCTGGCATGAACCCGAATTGGTTGTCCGAAACCCGTGTCTCTTGCCTCAATCTATGCTCAATGACTCTCTCCCAGAGCTTCATTGTATGACTCATTCGCTTAATACCCCTATAGTTCATGCAATTTTGTACGTCGCCCTTATTCTTGTAAATAGGCACCAAGGTGCTCTTTCGCCACTCGTTTGGCATCTTCTTCGTTTTCAAAATCCTATTGAAAAGGTCAGTGAGCCATGCTACACCTGTCTCTCCCAAGGCTTTCCACACTTCAATCGGTATATCGTCTGGGCCCACTGCTTTTCTATGCTTCATCTTCTTCAAAGCTACAACCATTTCTTCCTTCCTGATTCGACGATAAAATGAGTAGTTTCTACACTCTTCTGAGTTACTCAACTTCCCTAAAGGAGTACTCCTTTCATGTCCTTCATTGAAAAGATTATGAAAATAACCTCTCCATCTGTCTTTGACCGCGTTCTCTGTAGCAAGAACCTTTCCATCCTCATCCTTGATGCACCTCACTTGGTTTAGGTCCCTTGTCTTCTTTTCCCTTGCAAATTAATAGGAAGCAAAAATATTATTCGATACCACTGACATGTTAGGAAATAATTAAACAGAACCATGCACGTACAAAAAAAAAGTGATTTTTCACATACCCTTTTTCTTTAGCTTTTCACACATTGTTTTTTATTATTTATAATCTCAAATTAAATAAATCAAACAAAATCAACATTCAAAATTAAACAAATATGTGTAATTAAGAGGTTAAAAATAGTACATAAAATCACTTAAAAAATGTTATAAAGGGACATGATCTTCTACTGCTAGAAATTACATTAGATTAGACAAGGCCAGGCATGGACTTGACTGAAATAGATTAAACATGGCATTATTCTTTTTATTTTTATTTATTTATTTTATTTTTTTTTGTGTGTGTGTGGTTCTAATGTGATTCATTGAAAAGGAGACAAATCTCCAAAAGAGTACAAGGACCGAATCAGCACTAGGCTGAGGTCAAGGAAATACAAGAGAGGAAAAAGAGCAGCCGATCACAAAATGATCAGGGAAGGCTAGAAACATGACCACCCTCCCTGACCACCGCACACAAAGACAAACTAGTGTGGGCAAGGTAGGTCGATGTATGAATATGGACCAAAACGGATGGGGGTTTGGTAACCCAGACTTCCAGACACATCCCCCTATTACAATGCGAAGCAACCCAGTCGGCTGCAGAATTCCCTTGACGGGGGATGCTGGACCACTTTAGGAATTGGAACCGATGACTAAGATTATGGATCTGGTTGATGATGGGAATCGTGTGCAACTTGCAAAGAAGTTATTAATCAAGCTACAGAAAGAAGGAGACACATAATTCAACTAATATCGCATACATTTTGTGAGACCCTGTTAATTTTTCAGGTGTTTGATCTAATTAATGAAATTTGGCTTCGATGTTTTCTGAGATTTTGGTGACAATTCGCGAGGAACTAAACAGTGAATTGGGATTGGAAATCAAATATTTCAGTTTGAGAGGCAAAGTGATGGTGTATGAAGGTTGAATGATAAAATGAAGGATTAAACTGTGAGTTGAGCTTACTATAACTCCAAGGCCAAGGTTAAATCGCTAAAAGGCGACCCCGAGCCAACAAGGTTCGCCGCTTTGTGAGGGTTGGGGGAGGAATATCTATTGTACGCAACATTATCCTTACTTTGCGAAGATTCTATTTCCAATACTCAAACCCGTGATCAAAGGTCACAAAAGAGCAACCTTTCCGTGTGCCAAGGCTCGCCCTCCAAGGTTATATATCACTACGAGAAAAAGGTTCTATAATGATATTTTAATTAAGGTGGTGACCAGAAACCAATTACTAGGAGAGTAACTTACGTACAACTGGATGCTAGCTAGGGTGACAGTATTTTAAACGGATCACGATATACTTACTTGGGAAATTGATGGACGAGAAGACTTGTGACACACCCCGACTCGATTAGCCTTCTAACTAAGGGTGAAAATGTATAGCCGACACTAAATTGATGATAAAACCCCACTATAAAGGTGACGAAATACCATTAGCTTAATGATGAAGCCATAAGTAAGGAGATGTGAAAGATTTGGAACCGAATGGCTCATTTATTAATTATTTAATCTATCGTCTAGGTTCCCTGCACAATCTGCCCACTTGGGGACACAATCTAAAACTAATTCTATTTTTTTATATCACATCGATCAAAGCATAACAATAATGCATACAACAGTAAAGTCATACAATTAATTATAGTTTAGTAAAGAACAAGCAGAAGTTAAACTGCCCTACATCGTAGGAAGTTTGCACTACTGCAATTCTATCTCTCGCCTTCTCAACATACGCCTTGCACTTGCTAGGACCTGAGGGGGTACAAAACAAAGTGTGAGTGGACCAGTTTTATCACATTCAGGTAAAATCATTTTCAACATGCTAACCCCTGTTTTGTAAAAAAAATATATATATATATATATATAGTTGGAAAACTAAATAATAATATTTACTACCATAATAGTAAATGAAAATCACAACAATTTCCATGATCAAACGTTGTCAATCAAAAGTTCAGAAAATCATATCTCATCTCAGTCAATCAATCATACTAGTGTCTATTGGCATAAGTATAGCATGCAGGGTGTGCTAGCGTCGACTAGCTAGACACACTTACCGATAATCATCAATAATCCTAGCGCCTACTAGGATAACATATCACCTGCAATTACTCTACGGCCGAAGATGGCTATACCTAATATCACCTCAACGCCTCGACATATTAACACTTCTAACACCTCAACGCAACATGATAACACTTCAACACCTCAATACCATGTGGTGAAAATAAATCACCAATACTTGTCAAAATATCAATAAATATTATCATAAGTCTCATTAAAGACCAACAAGTAATATGCACCCGCATATAACACATCCACACATGTATATAGATATATTGTACTCAACATAGAGGGTATTGTTGCATTTAGAATAACTTTAATGGAAACATATGAAGTTATTGAAACTACAGGGGAGCAAAGGTAAATAAAACCCAAAACCATAACAGAAAAGTGGAAATTGGCGCCCAAACAAAAACAGAAAATGGTAGTCTGCTGACTCTCAAACCACTCAACCGTCCAAAGCTCTGTTACTTTCCCTCCAAGAAACCTCTCTCTCTCCCCCCACCAAGAAATCACCATGTTTGGATTCAGCCTAGAAGCAGGTGCTGTTCTTCTGAGGAAGGCCGTGGCTGCCTTCATCATGACAGGCTGCTTCAACGGCGAGATGTTCATCTCGAATGACGACGTCACTCTGGCAGCTACCACATTTCCCATCCCAATGTTCCAAATCCCAAGCCTCCTCGTATCCCTTCGATTGCGACCTCTCATCGGGGAGGACTTATACTGCACCGAAGGCCTCCTCTGGCTTGCCCTCAGCTTTCGTGACTTCTATAACAATCTCAGTCTTTATGAGGACGACGATGATTTTTTCGGCATCTATGGCAGTGCAGACCTTCGTCGCATCAGATTTGTGCTCGTCAATAATAGTCAGTGCCTACGTAACAGATTAATTTAATTAACCCGTTTTGATTTCTTCAGTTCTGATTCGTTTTTTTCTTTTTTCCAAGGTTTCAAGAATTGGGTTTTGATTATTTGACAGTTCTTCTGCAAGTTTTTGAAAGTTTTCGGATTCAACTGTTCAAGAATCAATCATGTTGATGGGTTCATCAGAAATCCTATTTTCTTGAAAATTCTATTTAAATTTGATAAGTTACCCGCAATTTCGCTTTCTGATTTCGGTTTTTTGTTTCCCTATGTTCGGTTTCGAAAATGCTAGGAACTGAGAGGTTTTGGGATCAGCAAATGGACTTGTTTACAATCGAACGTGGTCGGATGATCGCACCTGAGTTCCACTATGAATATGATGTGGTCGTTGGAATACCTTCGGGCATATTTGGAAGTCTCATCATGAATCTAAGCCGTTTCGGGATGACAGGTACTATATCGTTGTTTAATTGCTTGCTGAATTTTACTGATTGAGATTCAGAACATGCCCTTTTTTTTTTTCCTTAATTCTTACGAGAACATGTTAATCAACTTCATTTAATTTACCGACAAGTATCAAAATCGGCCTTTACAAGTCTTCCATAAGAGTTTTATTTTCAGACACTTTCAGAATGTTACAGTAAGTTACTAGCCACAGTTTAATCCGGAAATATTGACAAGTTTGCAGTTTTTAACCAGTTGTGCATTATATCGTTCCCTTATTGTGGTTTCTAAAGGCATAACTTAGTTTGAATGTTATAAACTTTTAATAGAACCGATCTTGTTGAACGTAATGACCAATCCTAGGCATTCATAGGCATCTAACGGCATTTCGTTGATGTTTTTTTGTAAGTTGACTTGCTGCTCTTAGCAACTATCTCACAAATAACATCTTGCATATGTCACTAACTCGACTTGTATTTGTCATCTCAGTTTCTGCACTTGTAACAGAAACTCAAGTTACGTTCACTGTGGGAAATGTAAAGATTGTTCTCAGGAAAGAGGTGCGTGTAATTCCAAGCTTGTTACTACGGAGTTTGATGCTCTGCATAAGGCTTACCACAATGTTGTTTTGATGTTCTGGTTTTCGTCCGAAAAAAAAAACCCGTTCTTTTATTCTATAACGTGCCAAACTGTGATTGAAATTCCAACAAATAGTGTCTAAGCTGCAGTTAGGATCGAATAACCACAAAATCACAAGAATCTCAATTTCCTGATCACAAAATATATGAGCATATCTTTGTTTTCATTTCGTGCAGCTGGAGGAGTGTATTATTGGGGGTGCTGTGGGTGAAAATCCAGTTTCCTTGGTGTTCCATATCCATTACAGTAACACAATGCTGCGCTCTTCATTTCTGTCAAAAAGGGTGTGGTTGCTTGGCCAGTCCAATGGTTCATCTGTCATGCTCAATTGCCCTGTTGGAACACTCGGTAACCTCATGTTCTACGTTGGGTGAAGCATGAAGGTGGTGATGGTGAATTGAGGACTGATGAGAACAATTGATTAAACCAACAGTGAGCAGAATTGATTAACCTCATGTCTTACTTACTCAAATTAGATATAATGATTCAAATTCTTTTACTCTGTTGTCAAGATAATGAGGTCTGATCTGATCTCAACCGTAAAGAACCAGCAACCGATGATGTCAAATATACTGAGTTGTATGTTGTACTTGTTTTGACAATTGACATGAATGTTGAAAGATGATAAAATGTGAAGTCATTGTGCTCTGATCCTATTCATCATAATAACCCTTTGTGAAAAAATGCAGCTTCACATGCAGAATCTAATTGTTAAATAGGGGTAAACATTAAGGTTCTTGTCAACAAAAGTGTGGGAAGACCAATTCCACCACATGCTCTCGATGTTACTTCACTGAATCTCATCTCTGTACTTTGATTAATAATTTCTTGTAAATTTCTCAAGGAAATTTATTGAAAACCAAAGTGATACACTTAGTAAAAGGGGACAAAAAGGACCTAAAGATAATGTAAATAACATCAATGCAAAAGCAAAGTACTGTTTTAGGTCTATTTGACTGAAGAATTTTAGAGATTGAGAGAGAGGTTGCGGCAAAGTGTAGAGAGAATTGGAATAGTCAGGAAGCTTTTCAATTTATGCGGCCTCACAACCTTCAGACATTACTGAGGCTAGTACATAAATGGGGGAAAAGAAGACAAAAGAAACTTTGGAGCTTCGGCAATAGGACAAAAATCAAGGCACCTCCATCGGCAATCCTCTTCGATTGGAAACTTAAAGGGGACTACCACCATGTGCCATTATGCATTAGCACTCAGAAGTTTCGGGATCACTTGTTTACTTGGATTTGGCAAGTCCCCGACTGAGAAGTTCTTCCTCACTTGGGAACTTAGAGGAGCATCGTTTGTACCATATTATATCAACTCCAAACCACCGAGTACCGATCAACTATAACCACTGAAAACTCTCCATTCCTCCAACTTGGAGCTCACTTGCTCAAGAACACGTGGCAACACTAAACAATGTTCCTAGAGATCTACATCAACCGCAGACAAGGATGGGAGACTCTCCTCACCTATAAAAGGAGACTCATCTCGTACAATTAAGGCTCTTGGATCTTAGGATGCCTAATCCAGGCTTAATCCTCTACTTATGCTTAAAACGTCGTATTATGTAAACACTAAGTTATTAATGAGAACTTCTTTAACCTCATGGACATAGCCCAAATTAGGACGAACCACGTTCATCTCGTGCCTACTTCTCTATCCTTATCTCTTTACATTATCAACCTAACTTAACGACCTGAGCACCCTCGCGTAGGTCACTTCACCAAACATTACGTTGACTTAAGGTCCACCTGATTGTGTGCATCAATAAATTTCATTGGATGTGTGGTCCTCACATGGATGCCATGTTAGCACATTAATGGAAATTTTAATGAAATTTAATGGCATGGGGAAAAGTGAGACTTAGAGTAGACACTCAAGGAGTTGAATGACTTTTGAATTTTAGGGTAGAGTCAAAGGATAGTTGAGTTTCAAGGGGTGTTAGAGTAAATAAGCCATTAGACAATGACAGTTCAAGTGGTTAGGTATTGACTTGACTTATTAATTGACTCATTCATAAAGGTAGTGGTGACGGGACTTCCTTGGGTGCTTCGGAGTACCCAATGCTTTAGGTGTTTTAACCGTTACATCTTTGTTCAATAATGTAAAAATTAAGATCTAATGGTTAAAACACACGGAGTATCCAGTACTTCGATCCACCCAAATTTTTTGTAGTGGTGATAACTACAGTGCAACAATGTTGAGTTTTTTTTTTTTTTTTTTAACAGATGATATCATCTATACTAATGAAGTGAGGGAGTGGGCTAAGTCTATTATACATTGCACATTACCACAAAGCAAAAATATTATTCCAAACCATGACATGTTAGGAAAAAAATTAAACAGATCCACGCACATATGAAAAAAGTGATTTTTCACAAACCTTTTTTAATTAGCTTTTCAGACATTTCTTTATAGATAAATGACATAAAATTACCTTAATTATAGCTTTTCACACACTTTTCATACCCTTTTATTTATGATCTCAGATTGAATCAAACGAAATCAATAGTCAAAATAAATATAAGAGATTAAAAATAGTAAATGAAAATCACTTAAAAGAAGGTTATAACGGGACATGAGCTTCTACTTCTAGAGATTACATTAGATTAGACAAGGCCAGGCATTAACTTGACTGACTAATATAAGTAAACCTGGCCTTATTTTATTGCTCAAAACTTAGAAGAATAGTGATAACTACAGTGGCACATCAATTACGTAAATTGAAAAGGACATGCCAAAGGTGGCAGCGTTCACATCAATCATGCAATGCTATGTAAAAAGCTTAAATCAAGTAGCATCGTAGGAAAATGATCATCGCCCGGATCTTTTTCTTGAGGATCAGGAGGATTCTATGATTATATCTATTTATCGTACATCGTACGGTCATAAATCATTTAAAAATTTAAAATTTAAAATTTAAAATTTAAAATTAAATATAAATAGTATTTAACGAAAATTGTCCGCATGATGTACGATGTACGATGAACGATCACGATCACGGGATCTTTTGGATCCCTAGGAAAAGGATCATCGCCGGATCCTTTTTCAGCATTGTGTTATTCATCAGGGACGCCACAATAGTATTTGAAGGGGTGTAGGTAAGACTCCTATGTCCTTCCCCCGGATAAGGGAGTCATTGCGTTGCCAAAATTAGGATCAAGATCTCTCCTGAGCTAAGGGTAAGGATCCTCTTAACCAAACCCATCGGGCCGTTAAAATTTTATCCAACGGTTACAATTATTATAACTTTTAGATGAGCCACCCTAGCCTTCACTCCCAAGAACTTTTCTTCTAGCATTTGAATCGTATGCAACTTGCAACGAAGTTAATAATCAAGCTACAGAAAGAAGAAGACACATAATTCAACCATTATCGGAAACATTTTGTGAGACCCTGTTAATTGTTCAGGTGTTGATCTAATTAATGAAATTTGGCTTTGATGTTTTTCGAGATTTTGGAGACAAGTCGAGGAACTAAACAGTGAATTGGGATTGGAAAAATCAAATATTTCAGTTTGAGAGGCAAAGTGATGGTGTGTGACGATTGAATGAGAAAATGAAGGATTAAACTGTGAGTTGAGCTTACTATAACTCCAAGGCCAAGGTTATATATCACTAAAGGGTGGCCCTAAGTCAATAAGGCTCCCTGCTTTGCGAGGGTCGGAAGAGGAATATCTATTGTACGTAGTCTTACTCTTGTTTGCAAAGATACTGTTTCCACAACTCAAACCCATGACCTTTTGGTCACAAAGAAGTAACATTTCCGTTGCGCTAAGGCTTGCTGTCCAAGGTTATATATAACTACGAGAAAAAAAGTTCGATAATGAGATTTTAAGGTGGTGGCCGAAACCAACTGTTAGGAGAGAAACTTACGGACAACTGGATACTAGCTTTTGTGACAGTATCTCAAACGTATCACGATATACTTATTAGGGAAATTGATGCACAAGAAGACTCGTTGAAATTTAGCACTCGAAGAATCAAAGGATCATCACAAATCCATAGCACAAGTTTTTTTTAGATTCAGCTCAGCATAAGATCCTTCAATTACCTTCACAAACATACGTTACACATCTTGAGAAACCCCTAGTAGCAGTCTCGCGATGGTATCGGTCATAGTTTACATAATCGGGCAGGGACATGGATCCTCTGAACTAAAACTGAAGAGGAGTTAAATGACCACGAGATGCCGTCCATTTAAAGCATGCAAGAGCTTCAAGTATCACAATTAGCACTACAATTAAAGCATAAAACAGTTATAACCATCTTCCGTCACCTTGCATCTTAATTAACAAGTACTAGCCTCTGTGAAACCAGCGTAAGGACAACGAATAAATCGAAGACTGAAGAAGCACAACAATTTAGGGTTTGTTAATGAAATTTAACTTGGAAGAAGATTGGATGACAACAGAAGCATGAAATACTCGTTCATACAAGACGTAAAAAACAAGGCATAGGAAGCAGAAAATTCGGCTACAACACATACCAATCGGACCAGTACCTAGCTTCTCAGTCAATATCATTACCACTAGACGTGTAGAAGAAACAGGTAAGGGCGAACACAATGTTTGTGACTTGACTTCACACAACACAAGTGGCCAGGTAATTACTACACACCATTGATGCTAAAGAGCATCTAAGTTAAGGATTAAGCTTGAAATTCCCAACTTCGAAATAACTAAGGTTATAACAAGGAATGATAAACACATACTCCTGTTTAATTATGTCTGTTGTCTTTGCCTGATTTATTCAATCAAACGGCCATAGTGTTTGAGAAGCCAAAAAGGGTGTTAAAACCACCTCCCTGTAAAAAGGCTCCGGAAGCTGCAATCTCATTCGAAGTATCTTGTGTTTACTTACCTTTTCAGGCATGAGAATGATACCTAGTTGTTCATGTAAGAGATAAACAACTGCCTCCTTGACAGAGATACCTCGTTCAAATCGGGTATGACATAGCAAAACGTGAGATTCACATACTTTTTCGTACTTTGGGGGTAAATAAATTCATGACAAATTAGGAATGGAATGATAACCCATGTCATGTTTTGCATAACCAATTCTGAGAACTAAACATGCCATAAAGGATTTGCCCAGCGTGAAACTCTAATCACCAGCATAAGAAAAGTATTTTGAAAGCATCAAAAGGCGTAGCTAGATGAGTCTTTGCCAAGGATAATTGCATCCCCCTCATGTGGGGATGCATATATCCCATTATATATTTAGCTTAATTATATCTCTAAAAACCAACGTATTAAAAGAGTGAGGCGTGAGGCGAAACCTCACGGGACCTAAATTTTTTAATATATACACTGAGCAAACACATATATTATAAGTGTACACACACACACACACACATATATATATATACA